GCTTAGGGATGCTGGATCGAAAAATAACGCAGCCGCCGAGCCGATGCACCTGCAACGATTGCGTAAGATGCTGGACTTGAGTCGATTCCAACGCCAACTCGAAGAGCTCCTTTCGCAACCCATAAGGTCTGTGACTGTTCTCGCTTATAAAATTCATTTTTAGCCACTCTTTACTTTTCTTCCGATGGTAAATTGGTACTGGCATATGCCAAGGAGTCAGATCTGCCATCAGCTTGCTTGTAAGCAACTCTCAGAAGAGGGGACCATCGGCAGTCTTGCCATTAAATAGCTTTTTTTGACTTTGCTGTCACTCGGGCTACTTCCCAAACGCTTTCGCTTCGCACTTGGAGCAAAACACGGAAGGCTTTTGACTTTTACTTTGTATGCCACCCCGCATGTATGTAATGTTTTTGAACTTTTTCACAGAATCGCTCATAATCACCGCATTCATCTCGCGCAACGTTTTTCTCCACTTATTTTCTCCCTCCCTCATACATGTTGTCTTCATTACAGCGGTTTGTAAAAAGCGGGGAAAAAAAGGAGATGAGGGTTGAAAATGAATTGGCACAACTTCTGCACTCGAATTCGGCAACTAATTCGAAAACTCCTGCGATCGAATTCCTCTGCGAACACTTTGTAAAACTGCGCTAAATTTCGCTCTTTTTGCGCCTGAAGTGCGACGGCTGGGCTCAATTACATAAGATTTATTGGTACCACAATCTCACACTTGTATGGATCCAGTTAAAGATTATTTTCTAGAGTTTGACGAAATTCAGTTTCGTTTCGAAATTAAATTTATTTTGCTACTGTGCAGAGGTCAGTGGGTTTACCCGGGGCTTTCCTGGAATTTTGCGGAATATAAAATTTGGGTCCCAACTCTATTCGGAGTTATTACTTGCGCCATACCATGTGAGGTTATATCAGTTGCAGTGCATATTCCTCCCTTTGATCAGTTGTCCTTTCATTTTTATGCGTTCGGTGCTGTGTAACAGCAGTACAAAGCGCATGTTGTCACGGGGTTGTCTGTGTCTGTGTTTGTGTGTCCGCAGCAACTTGTCCGCAACTTTCAACTCGGGAATCACAAAAGTTAGGAAGATGAAAATTTAGGGGAACGTTCCCCACCCACGTTTGACCCAGCAAATTTAAATTCACCTCCCCGTACCCATGGGTAATACGTACGGCCCCATGAAAGTTTTTTACGGGTAAATTATCTCGGGAACCACCTAGTCCAGGAAGCTGAAATTTTAGGGTGATAACCCCCTGCCCACGCTCAACCTTGCCCTTTCAAATTCAGCGTCCCGCGCTCTTGAGTTATTGGCGGGTAAACTATTAACTTCAAGGTTTCAAATTCAGCTTTCATGCGCTGGTGCGTGAAATTTTCAACTGTTTTCCAATGTTTGAACTATTTTTGCATAGACTAAAGTACAAAGCATGAAAATCATTAATAGGCAATCGTTCGATGGGCCGAATTGCACAAAACGCATTATCGCACCGGCTAGTCTGTTGAAATTTTTAACTGTTTTCCAATGTTTGAACTATTTTTGCATAGACTAAAGCACAAAGCAGTGAAGAAATCATTAATCGTCTGGTTTTCAATGTTTGAACTATTTTTGCATAGACTAAAGTACAAAGCAGTGAAAATCATTAACAGGCAAATATCGTTACGATAGGCTGAATTGCACAAAACGCATGATCGTACCGGCTAGTCCGGTGCGTGTTACTGTTTATTGCTTTTATTTTCGCCATCGACATGCTGATCAGTTTCTGGATCCTCTTCTATTT